TATTAATGGGAGAAGATTAAGGGGCATAAAGGGAAAATGACGTGATCATATCAATCAATGCAGAAAATTTTTTGACAAAATTCAACATCCATTCATGATTTTAAAAACTTGCAGAAAGGTAGGAATAGAGAGAAACTACTTCAACTTGATAAAGAGCATCTACAAACACCTACAGCTAACATTATACTTAATGTTGAAAGATTGAATGCTTTCTCCCTAAGACTGTAAACACCACTGTTGCTCAGCATAGTGCTAGAAGTTCTTGCTAGTGTAGTAAGTCATGAAAAGTAAATAAAAGGCATAGAGAGTGAAAAGTAAGAAATAAACTACACCTATTTGCAGATGAGATGATTGTCTATGTAGAAAAATCTAAGAAGTCTATGCCTCCCCAAAATGCCTAGACCTAATAAATGAGTTCAGTTTGGTGTCAGGATACAATATAAAAATAGAAAAAAATTATATTTCTATAAGCCAGCAAAACCAGCTGGACAACAAAAGTAAAAAATGCAATACCATGTACACTTCAAAAAGTGAAAGAGTCATAAAACATCTATAGGATTTGCATGTCAAAACCCACAAAATGCTAATGAAAGAAATCAAAGAAGATTTAAATAAATGGAGAGATATACCATGTTTGTGGTAAAGATGTTGATTCTCAAGTTGGTATAGAGGTTTAATGCAATTCCCATTAAAATCTCAGCAATATTTCATGTAGGTTTAGACAAGATTATTCTAAAACTTGTTAGGAAAGGCAAAAAGAACTAGGAGGGCTGAAACAATTTTGAGAGAGAAGGATAAAGTGGGAGGAATCAGTCTACCCAATTTCAAGACTTACTATTTAGCTACAGAAACCCAGACTGTGTAGTATTGGTGGGAGGATAGGCATACAGATCAATGGAAGAAAATAAGGAACCCAGAAATAGACCCACTGATTTTTGACAAAGGTGTAAATCCATTCAGTGGAACAAGGAATAACTTTTTCAACAAATGGTACTGGAACTATTTGATAGTCATAGAAAAAAAAAATCAATCTTTATCTAAACTCCTTACCTTATATAAAAAGTAACTCAAAATAGATCATGGCCCTCAATATAAAATGTAAAACTATAAAATTTTTAGAAAAAACATGAGAAAAATCTTTGGGATTTAGACCTGGCAAGGAGTTTTTAGACTTGACATCAAAAGCATCAAAGGAAACATTGATAAAATGGAGTTCATCAAAATTAAACACTTTTCCTCTGTGAAAAATCTTGTTAAGAGGTTGAAAGGATAAGCTACAGACTGAAAGAAACTTTTGGAAGCCACATATTTGACAAAGAACCAGTATCTAGGATATAGAAAAACACTCAAAACTCAACAGTAAATAACAACAGCAAAACAATACAATTAGAAAGTGGGCAAAAAAAAAAAAAAGTGAACAGCCATTTTACCAAAGAGGACACACAGATGGCAAATAAGCAAATGAAAAGATGTTCAACACCATTAGCCATTAGGGAAATGCAAATAAAAGCCACAGTGAGATATTTCTACATGTCTCTCAGAATAGCTAACATTAATAAATAGTGACAACACTAAAAGCTGGTGAGGGTGTGGAACAACTCATACATTGCTCTAGGAATTCTGTTCAGCAATATAAAGGAACAAACGCTTGATACACACAACTTGGATGAATCTCCAGAGAATTATGCTGAGCAAAAAAAGGCAATCCCAAACATACATACTGTATGGTTCCATGAATATAACATTCTTGATGAGTGGCTGCTGGAGGTTGGGAAGCATGTGGGTGTGACTGTAAAAATGGCAACAGGAGGGATCACTGTGGTAATGGATGAAACCTTTTTGTATCTTGATTGTATCGATGTCAGTATCCTGCCCGATACTATATTTTTAAGGTATTACCATGGGTGACTCAGATGGTAAAGAATCTGCCTGCAATGCAGGAGATGCAGGTTTGATCCCTGGGTTGGGAAGATTCCCCTGGAGGAGGAAATGACAACCCACTCCAGTACTCTTGCCTGGAGAATCCCATGGTCAGAGGAGCCTGGCAGGCAACAGGCCATGGAGTCACAAAGAGTTGGACATGACTGAGCAACCAACACTTTCACCTTTTTACTTTCACCATTGGGGGAAACTGGGAAGAGTACACAGGGCTCTCTCTGAATTATTTCTTAACAATTGCATGTGAATTTATAATGATCTCAAAATAAAACATTTAATTAAAAAACAAAGAATAAAAAATAATAGATAAAAAGACACAAGTACAGGGTGTTTTGAGGACTGTGGTGAGATTAGATAGGCATTATGTGATAGAACAGGGCTTCACTGATGGCCAGTGGTAAAGAATCGCCTGCCAATGCAGGAGGCTCGGATTTGATCCCTGGATCGGGAAGATTCCCTGGAGAAGGAAATGGCTACCCACTCCAGTATTCTTGCCTGTGAAATTCCATAGACAGAGGAATTGGGCAGGCTACAGTCCATGGGGTCGCAAAAGAGTCGGACATGACTTAGTGACTAAATGACAACATGTGATATTAATAGAATTCAATGCTCCACCTTGGTCAGGTCATCACAGTTGAGAGTTAGACCTGTTCAGTTAAGATCCCTGGTTATAAAGACTAGAAAATCACTTCAAAAGGAACTTATGCAAAAGAAGGGAATTTATAGAAAGTAATTGTATAAGAACTTTTGTTGCCAATGACAGAAACCCAATTCAGACTGGCTTGAGGGGGAAAAAAAATCCAAAAAAGGAATTTGGGCTCCTACAATATAATTGCAAGTCCAGGAATAATGGCTTCGAAGATCTAGCTCCTTTTTGTGGCTCTGCTTCCTTCTGAGTCAGCTTCATCCTCAGCCTGCGGGGTGGCGCCTTATGGGCTCCAGCAGCTCCTGACTCAAATCTCACCAGCATGGTACCCCAGGAAAAAAGATGAACCCTGTTTTCCAATAGCATAAGCAAAAGTCCTGGGGTTGAGTCTCAATAGGCTGACTTGAGTGTCCAGGCTTGTCCCTGAATTACTGTGGCTAGAGGGAAAGGACATTGGCCAGGCCTGGGTCATGTAGGCACTCCTGAAGGGTGGGGGTGAAGCCAGCCCACACAAATTGCATCACCAAAGAGGAGGGGAGTCATGGTCCCTTTACAGAATGGGTGCTGGTCAGGCCAAACCAACAGACATATACTCATGGAATTCCAGAAATAGCCTGCTTCTTCATTTTCCATCCTCAAGCATGGGTGTCCATCACTCTAGTTCAAACAGACATCCCAGATTAAGCTGGAACTTTCAGATTCATTGCTCAAAAGAGAGAGTATCTGATTGGACCAGCGTTGGCCAGATGTTCAGCTCTCCTCCAATCATCTATGAACAGTAGGGTGGGGTCACCTACTGGGTCCTTTGATGGACAGGGCATTTCTTAAAGGGGCCAGATGGATACTCCGAAGCTGCCTATTATAGATTCTCAGAGTTTCTGGAAGATCTAAATTAGTTCCTGATAAAAGAATAGGGCAATCTACTAAAGCAGGGGTCCCCAACCTCCAGGATCTGATGCTTGATGATCTGAGGTAGAGCTGATGTAATAATACAAATAAAGTGTACAATAAATGTAATGTTCTTGAATCATCCCCAAACCATTTCCCCCACCCCCAGTTGGTGGAGAAATTGTCTTCCACAAAACTGGTCCCTGGTGCCAAAAAGTTTGGGGACCACTGTTAACTAAACAATTTGGCGATAAGGGGTATATGATGATGGTGGGGGGGTGGTCCCTGAGATAAAAGGCTGAATCCTCAGGGTCCCCCTTGTTTTCCTTCTGGGCCCTCCGGGGCTGACAAGGAGACGAGCAGCGGGTGTGGGAGGTGGACTGCGCTGACCTTGAGGAAGGAGGGTGGTCATGTGGAGACACCCAGTGGGTGGCAGGCGAAAGGGGAGGCTGGGGGCCCTGAGACAGTGCCGGCTTGGGAGTGATAAAACTGATGTGATTAGGGAAGAGACTGGGAACTAGGGGCTGAGAGCCACACCAGGCATACCTGGGGTGAGGAGGGTACCCCCCTCCTTGTTCTGCATGTTACTGCATGGTCTTGATCAGCAGAATTGGGCAGGAATGTCTAGAATGGGCAGGCGGGCAGAGAAGACCAGCACCCTCGCCAGCTGACTCTCCTAGCTCCACAGCCCGCTTCCTTTCTTTCCAGATGTGGATAGGACAGGTTGTCCAGCTCTGGTTGGCTCAACATCCGCATCCGATGAACGCAGCCAAGAATCCCCAGCTGTGCACAGAGGGAAGTGTGAGCCGAGAGCCTTAATCTAACAGAGAAAGAACTTGGAAACCAAGACAGCTAGAATGGGTAGTCAGGATGTTGATCATAGTGATGACAGTGATGAGGCAAACCTTTCTTGAGAGCCTACTATTTCCAGACCCTGTTCTAAGACACTTTAAATGGATCCTCTCCTTGAATCCTTGCAACAACCCTGTTACGTGGTACTCTGTGGGGTAGACAGGTGAAGCATCTTGGCCAAGGTCACTTGTGAACAAGGGTAATTTAACTCTCATGAGTAACAGGTACCAGGAAACTGGCTCCCATCCACTTCCACATCATCAGCTCCAACTAACTTCCTGATACCCCCTCACTCTGGCACCCTACACTTTGTGGAATGCTTCCTGCTGCCTCTTGTCTCTATGTCTTAGCACACGCTTTTCGGTCTTCCTGGAATGCTGGTCCCCTGGAAAACTCTCACTCATCCTCCAAGACCCAGTGCAAGCATGGTTGTGTTCCGGTCACTTTCCCTGTTGCCAACCTGAGGATGGAATGACTCTTGCCTCCCAGTAATGAACTCTGTCATGTCTGTATCACAATATCCAGACAGTGCTGCCTCCCAAGCCAGACCGGGAATGGGGACCAAGGCTTGCTTCTCTCTGCGGCAGCCCTGATTCAGGTCTGGATGTCTGGTGGCTGTGGTTCTCTGTCCCCTGCCCACCCTGACTGTGGCATCTCTCTCCTCGTCTCTTGGCAGCCTGGCGTGGGGCTCCTTTACCTGCTGCATGGCAGCCTCTGTCACCACGCTCAACTCCTACACCAAGACGGTCATTGAGTTCCGGCACAAGCGCAAGGTCTTTGAGCAGGGCTACCGGGAGGAGCCGACCTTCATAGACCCTGAGGCCATCAAGTACTTCCGGGAGAGGTCAGTGCACATGGGGTCACCTCTGGCCAACACCGGGAATCGGAAGCCCAAGACCCAACCTCAGTGGCCATAGGGCTCCGGTTGAAAAACTAGAATGGTTGGACAGAAGTGTTCTGGGGGGTCGTGGAGTAGAAGGGGCAGGCTGGGTGAGGCAGAGTTTGGACTCCACTGTGTTGAAATTTCTGGGATATTTTAATATTTTATGGGGCATGAGGTTGACTTTGTCTGATGTGATCAGAGCCTGAGAAATTAAGAAGGGAATCAAGTTTGAGTGTTTGCTCTTTGGCTCCATGATTTTTGGAACCAAGGTAGGGTCACAGAGATGCTGAACTAAGGTTTCCTTCTTGGGCTCTGTCATAGCACCGAGTGAAAAAAGGACTCAGCATGAGATTGGTGGTGACAGAGGAGGAGGCCTCCTCAAAGTCAGGGACCACATCTGATCACCTGAATCCTTACAGACCAGCCGGGAACAGAGGAGGTGACAGTGAATGGTGGGTGGATGTATGGCTGGATGGATGATTGGGTGGATGGATGATGGAAGGATATACAGATGTATGTGTGTATATATGGATGGATAGATGGTTGGGTGGATATATAGATGTATGTATGGATGGGTGGATGGATGGATGCTGGATCAATGATGGATGCTGGATGGTTGGATGGACGATGGATGAATGGATGCTGGATGGATGGATGCTGGATCAATGATGGCTGCTGGATGGATGGATGCTGGATGGATGGTTGATGGATGAGTTGAAGGACAGGCAAGTTGTTATCATATTTCCTTGGACCATCCTTTTAATAAACTACCTGTACCCAAATCTTTAATCTTAGTCTGCTTTGGGGGTGCTGATTGGACATGCACTAATGCCTTTAAGTGGCAGGGAACAGAACATGTCTCCAGACTGATGACAGAGTCTGAGGAGGAAAAGAGGGAGGGAGACTGTGAAGCTGGGCAGCACTGAGGAGTCCGACTCTCCATGGGGCACATGGAAGCATTTCAAGCCAAGAAGTCTCATGGTGGGGGCCCCACAGGGACCACGCTCTGACTGCTACAGACCCCTTCATCTCTCCTTTGCCACCTGAGCCTCTTTTCTGCCTCTGAACACTGAAGTTCATCCCTACCTCAGGGCCTTTGCACCTGCCATGTCCCTGCCTGGAATCCTCACTGGCTGGCTCACTAAGGTCTCAGCTCAGATGTTACCTGCTCAGAGTGGCCTTCCTTAATCACTTAGTCTAAACTGCACACACACACACCCATACACCCTGTCCTAGTCCCTCTTTATCCCATTGCTGTTTTTTCATAGCACCTACATAACCTGACATTATTCTATTTGCTTATTGGGAAGATCCCCTGGAGAAGGGAATGGCAACCCACTCCAGTATTCTTGCCTGGAGAATTCCATGGACAGAGGAGCCTGGCGGGGCTACAGTTCATGGGGTTGCAAAGAGTCAGACACGACTGAGTGACTCACGCATACACATTGGTTTAATAGTTTGTAGACCGTGAGGTCTGGAGGGTTCTGCTATCTTCTTTCCCACTATGTTCTGAGCACCAAGTACTGGACCAGGTACCTAATAGGTGCTCATTTAACATCTGGGGGTGAGTTTGATGGGTGTGTGTGTAATTGACTGACTTCTCTTTGGAGACCTCAGCCTGCCTGCCTGTAGGTGTTCAGCCCAAGCCCCACCATCATCGAGCAGATACAGAATCTTGTTCCTATATCAAAGTCTCAGGTCATGTGTCCAGGTCCAGGCCAATTGGTTGTGCCCAGGGAGCTCAGGACAGCTTGGCACACAGGCCCGCCTCACCCATGGCTGTGGACGGGGCGCGTCCACTAGGAAGGTGGCGATGACTGGCAGAGCGCGGGACCCACAGTAGACACTCAGGCAATGTTTACAGCGGCCAGTGAGCAGCCTGCTGTTGAAAGTGGCCCCGTTATCACTGCCTCTGTGTCACCTCGGCTGTGGGAGAGCCCGGGGCATCCGTAGACGCCCTCGTTTTGCTGAGGCGGAAGACAGGACCTCTATGCACCTCATCAACAAGAAGCTGCTGTTTGCCGGTCCCTCATCGCTCAGGCCCCAACGACGTGGGAGAAGATAAATGCTTCCCAGCATATGTGCGGAATATCACTTTACACGTTCATAACTTGAACATTATGCAGAGGTTCATCAAATTTTATTTCCTTTCCTCTCCAAGGAGAACATTTCAGCTTAGCTGGGCTGTTCACTTCTTTTTTTTTTTCGGTGCCTTCCCTACAAAGAGCTCAGAGCCCACAGACAGATGTCTGCTCAGATCTGCAAGGGGCCCAGCTGCAGGGCTGAACTCCCGCAGGGGCCAAAGTCCTAGAGACCAAAGCCAGAGACATGAGAGAAGAGATCCTTGACCCCACCTGCCCATGTTTCTTAATCCCTGGGCCCCAAGGGGTGGCTGTGGGAAGAACAGGGGTTTGGGAGTCCCCTGACCTGAATTTTCCAGTTCTGTTACCTGACTGCTGTGTGATGTGGGGCAAGTAACTGAGTCTCTCTGGGCAGGTTTCCTCTCAACCACGGTAGGAGAGAGCCCAGAGCTCTCAGCATCTCGGGAAGCTTCAAATTGGATGGCCCAGGACAGGTGGCTAGCGCAGTGTGTGGCTTAGGAGGGCATTTCATCTGTGGCTTCCTGTCCCTTCTGCTACTGATACAAAGTATAAAACTCGGTAATGGAGCTTAGGACAGAGCCAAAAACAGTGCAGTAGACACTGGGCATCTAATAATCATGTTAATAACCACAGCAATTGGGTGGGTGCGGTGTCAGGTGGGCTGTGAATACAGAAGAGGGGTATGGGGTCAGACATGTCCGGGAGAGGGTGCAGGTTTTCTCAGATGATGCCCCCTGCCCCTGCCATTCCTGTCATCGGGAGAGGAGCCCCTGACTGAGGACAAGATGGGATCCTGTGGGGGTTGTTGGGGCAGGAGGGCCTGGACTGCTGCCCCCACCATCATCACACCCCACCCTTTTCCTGTTGGATTTTTCTTTGCAGGAGCAGAGGTGTGATTGGGCAGATTCTGAACTGTTTTTCAGAGTTTCGCAATGTAGTGGTGTGTGGAAGAAAGGTATGGGTGTGTGTGCACACGTGTGTGTAGGGGCCAGTGCGTCTCCATGTGTTGGGCTTGTCAGGGAGGCTGAACCTGCATGCCCTGACTCTGAGCAGCCTATGCCAACTCTGAGAAAGATCTGGGATTAAACCCTCCCAGCCTCACCCTGCCTGTCGGCCCCAAGGAGGGCGGCTTAATGGGGCCTCCCAGGGGAGGGGCGGAAGCTGCAGGGTGAAAAGTTAAATATTTGCAGATCGGGGCTTTCTTGAAAGCTTGATTTCAGATCTGGTTTAACAACACGGGAAGGAAATGAGACCCTGTTGGATTGGAGTCCAGGGGGAATTCAATGGAGCAAACATCCCGTTTTCCTTGGGAAAGCTGCAGGGGGTGGGTTCAGCTCAGTCAGTCCAGTTCAGTCGCTCAGTCTCGTCTGACTCTTTGCGACCCCATGGACTGCAGCACGCCAGGCTTCCCTGTCCAGCACCAACTCCCAGAGCTTACTCACACTCATGTCCATTGAGTCAGTGATGCCATCCAACCATCTCATCCTCTGTTGTCCCCTTCTCCTCCCGCCTTCAATCTTTGCCAGCATCAGGGTTTTTTCAAATGCGTCAGTGTTTCGCATCAGGTGGCCAAAATATTGGAGCTTCAGTTTCAGCATCAGTCCTTCCGATGAATATTCAGGACTGATTTCCTTTAGGATGGACTGGTTGGATTTCCTTGTAGTCCAAGGGCCTCAAGAGTTGGATGGGTGGGAGCAAGCAAAAGCCTGGGGCTTCAGGGAAGGCAGCTTCTCCCCGCTGTCCCCACGCCGCCCCGCCCCAGGATCAGATCTCCCAGTCATCCCCTTGCCCCTTGCCCCTTGCTCCGAGGCACAACGCGCCCATCCCGGTCTCTGAACTTACAAGTTCATTGCTTTGTTTAGTGGCCTCCTCCCACGCATGCGCAAATGGCAGGCGCACGGCTCTTTCTTGGCTCTCGCTCCGTCCCTGACACCTGGAACCACAGGGGCTCAACAAGTTATTAACTCTCCGTAATAATTATATTGTTAATTATAGTGGTGCAGTTCCCCCTCCCCGCCCCGCCCCGTTCGAGGGCCTTGCTTGTATGCTCTCACTCAATCCTGTGGAAGACGCGAGGAAATAAACCCAGGCTGGAGTAAACCCTGCAATTTATTAGCTGAGGGTCCCCAGGTGAGTCACTTCACCTCGGAGACCTCCAGCCTCTTCCGTCACCTGCCCGGCCACCTGGCTCTGGTCTACGGAGCGCAGCAAAACACCCTGGGTGCTGCGACGGGGTCTCCTGGAGGTGACTCCAGGTGGGGAGCCTGGCACCACCCCGGGGGAGGCGGAAGATAGAAAAGCCTTCATAGGTGAGGTCTCAAGCCAAGTTTCTGTTTATTTTTATTACTTATTATTATTATTTAGCCTACTTGTGGGATCTTAGTTTCCTGACCAGGGGCTGAACCCAAGCCACCTGCATTGGAAGCACGAAGTCCCAACCACTGGATCACCAGGGAAGTCCCAAGCCAAGTGTTTGAAGGCAGGGCCAGCACTCCTGGCCAGGCGGGTGGGAGGTGGGGGGACGTGCTCCCAGGCAGAGGCAACAGTGAACAAAGGCCAGACAGGCGACAAACAAGGGTATTTAGGAAAATCTAAGCAGTGTGGTGTGACTTGAGAGTGGGAACTGGTGGGAGTCTGGCCTGGGTGGCCCATCTCTCACCCTCCTACAGTGTTTGGGGTGGGGTGCTGGCCCAGGGGCAGATTAGATGTTACTGGGGTGAGAAGGGGGCATGGGGACCCTCCCCAAACCTCCGTCCTGGGTGCTAGGCCTCATGGGGCTCCCTGTTCCTACCTGGGGAAGCAGGTGGACATAAATCATTTTTCACAGCAGAGAGCCACCCCCTCTTTACCCCTCCCCGG